GAAGTTGCTCCTAAGAACTTTAGAACATATGCTGTCTTTGTAACATCTACTTTGGCTGGTTGTAGTTTCTTTCTCTGCTCACAGTTGTGTTACAGGTAGTTGAGATTGATACTGATTTCCAGATAAATGGGGTATTATAGATATAAGTATACATGAAGATATAGATAGAGATCTTAGTAGGGGTGTATGGGCCCAACCAGATGGCTACTAAGGTCTCTTCCAACTCTAAATATAAATTTTGTATTATCCATTATCCTCAAAATAGTGATATTGTAGCAGTGACATCTGTTTGATGAAGGCTGGACTGCTCTTTAAAGGAGAGACCATTTGGTTTCCTTGAGATTCGAGGCATACTTTTTAACCTTATGAAAAGTAAAGTTGATCTTAGTGAATTTTTTTGGTTCACAAGTTCCTCAGAGCATTCCAACCCCAAGCCTGAATCACTGAACTGGCCTGCGGGTTGGCCCAGAATAAGTGAAAACTCAGTTATATGGATGGACTGACTGGCAGAGGCACATAGGGATGGGGTGAGGTGGCAGTGCCTGGTAAGGATTGCACACTCTACCCTCTTAATTATGGCTGTCCTCTTCTTATTTTTCCTTTTGACCACACTCCCATGCTCTCCCTTTCTTGACACCTAGAATTTTACATAAGAGGCTCCTCAAGGGGATAGCAGATCACTTCCTTAAAGGGGAAGGTAAACTATTTGGCAGGGAACACATAAAAAGGCCTCGCTTTGGTGCAAGGGTAGTTTTTAGAGGCATCACCCAAGCTGTTGACGCCTTCTGGAAGTATTTTCCTGATCTAGCTCTTTGTTGTGCTAACTCTACAGGAAGATTAGAATAGTTTGTATTTTGATGTTGTATCTTTTAAAATTGGTTCTTTAATCTATTACCAGAATTTTTAAAGTTGTATTTTATGATCCTGAAAAATTATCTTAATACATTTTAACCCTGAAGCCAGTAATTATAGGACTGTTCTAGTTTAGCCTTGTCCAGAACAAATTATATTGGAGAGGAATACTATATTTGGAATTAGGAGATTATGGGTTTCAATACTAGTTCTTACACAGACCACAATAATTTCACTGAGTCTCAGTTTCCTCATCTGTTGAAAAGAAGATAATAATATTGTACTGTCCTCCTCACAGGGCTGCTTTGAGTAAAATTTTGTGTAGACCGATAAATTTAGAAGGACCAGAATTAGAATTTAAGAATAGTTCAAAAGACAAGCTTCATCCATTGACACAGTGCATTTGCACAGTTGAAATTCATAGTAGAGTGAATATTTTTATTTCTAAATAAAATCACAATGTTGTTATTGTTGTTGAGTTGTATCCAACTCTTTGTGACTCATTTGGTGTTTTTCTTGGCAAAGGTACTGGAGTGATTTGACATTTCCTTCTCCAGTTCATTTTATAGATGAGGAAACTGAGGCAAACAGAGTTAAGTGACTTGCCTCAGGTCATGTGCTACTTACTGTCTGAGGCTACATTTGAACTCAGGTCTTCCTGACTCCAGGCCTGGTGCTCTATCTACTGCACAACCTAGCTGACCCAAACTATAATATCTACTTGTAATTATTTATATTTAAAGTATATTTGCATAGATAGGAGAAATTATAAGTAAAATAATTTTAAGAAATATTTTTAAATTGTCAGATGTCACAACTGACAAGCCTGAACCTTTTAGAAGGTACAGAAAGCAAGTACCTTCTCCTTCTTTCTCTCACAGAATAACAAGGAATCCAGCTACTTTAGCCTCTCTTTTCCTATGGTCTGAGGGGTGATGCATAAGGTAGGTTGAGCATAAGGGGCTGTGAGACCCCTGAAAGGAGCAATGGTTGAAAGGATTTAAAAAAAACCTGCTATAAAAAAAAGAAGCTCCATTGTTTACCTAGTGAAACTTCAAGGGTCATCTAACACCGAGTGTACTACAGTAGTTCAATTTGCAGGCATGAATAACCTGTGGGAAGCTCTGCATCCAAATGAAAGTAGTACAATCTCTTGCACATTGCAAAAGGCATTCCCAGCTAGAATGTCACCTGAGAAACTAACAATGCTAATGGATCTGGGGGGAGGGGGGAATTTTTTTTCCACTTCAATTTCTCAGTGTTTAGTGGTGAAATCTAACATATTTTTATCTATTTAAACTCTTACAAAAGTACGTTTTGGTGGAAGGGATTCTAGAAAGAATCTAAAAGCAACTTTAAAAAAATTCCTTAACATTTTCATATCTGCTCAAAAATAATGTTAATTACTTTGAGCAACATAAACTTCTCCTTTCACACTCCCTTGATGCCCTCCTTTGTATAGTTGTCTTTTCACTCATTATAGGTTTAGAAAGGAAGGCAAATCAGCAATCCCACCATTCAAAAAACAGAAAATGGAAGTGGGTGGTGAGCTGGGACAGAAGGCTAGTCTTACCTTTTGCTTATCCTCTACTCCCACATGAATCCTCAAGAGTGAAATATATTACATATTCTACTGTTTGTGATCTGACCAATTCTTACTAAAAAAAGAAAAATATAAATCAATTATTTTCAATTTCCACATATAAAATATTTTATAAACACCATATCTCTTCAAGTAAAACTATTTTCTTTTAATACATTAGTTTGAAAGTTTATGATCTTCATCAATATAGTTATTACATTTCATATGTTGTTCTTAAACAGCAGAACAAGAGGAAATGTTCTCTTAAATGTATATACTGTTGCTTAAAGATGCATACGCCATATCCTGTAGTATACAAATATTTCATTCAGGACACTGAAACACACTGCATAAGAAATTCCACTTAAACTTGGGAAGACTAAGATTCTTAGCAGACCATTGTATAAGTGGACATTTTTGCTGCCATGTAATAACATGTCTGTCACTTTGATAGACCTAAACAGCAAATGACATATCAATGAAGCATTCTATAACTTATAGTCATAGGGTACCAGAAGTAAATACGATGGTTTTATAATTTAATGGTATTTAATCAGTCTTTATATATGATTAATAAAATCTGTGTGGATGATATTAGTATCATGATATATAATGGTTCAGATTCTAAAAAGTCCATATAATACAGAGCTGTACTAGGAAGAACTTGTGTATTTAAATGTTTCTTAAAATTCTGATGATTTAATAATGAAATTTCTTCATGTATATATGTTTAATATCATATGGAAACAACCCTATGGAGGTAGAATATTACTGTTGCATTAATGTAGTATTCAAGTCTACAGCTGAGCAGCAGTCATGACACAAGGATGGTAATTGCATATGGAATTTGTGAAGTCTCCAAATTTTAATTTTATTCCATTCTGGAGAGCAATGTTTTAAAAGTGAAGAACCACAATAGCGATCTCAGTGAAAATAGATTTACTTTAAGAACATCAAAATACATATTTGCATTACACATGCACACAATGTGTATGTATCTATGCATACATGAATATGTGTGTGTATAACCAAGAGTAAGTTGTTTGTTTATCCAACAAATATTTGACTCCTCTGTTTTCAAAAGCATCTAACTATTGAATTGATACATTTTTTCCCACCAAAACAAGGTATTACTAAAAAGCAAATCATCTCATTCATTAACGTAAGAACTGTCACTGCCAATGCTGGGAGTGGGGGTGGGATGGGGTGAAGGGGACCAATTTAAGGGTTGCCCCATGAAACCTGGAGGATAAAAAGCGGGTATTTTAAATTTTATTCAACAGCCTCATATACAAATCCTATGGAGGTAAAATAGACTCTGAAATATTAAGCTGAAACTCTGAAGTTAGAACATAATTAAACGAGATTTGCCTTAGAAGCAAAGTATTAAATTTGTTCTTTGGCATGTAAGGAAACACTGCAAATAGTTGCCTAAGAGTCTAAACGTGTTTCTGGGGGTTGTGTTAATGTGCACTTTGAAATTTGTGACGATACAACACAAACGTTTCTACAAAACCAAATTTAATATACAACAAACACTCACCATGTAAACACATTTTTTAAAAAAATCTTATTATAATATTCCAAGAATCACTTACAGGCTTTCATAAAAGCATTTTATATCAAGAATCTTAATACAGAATGATTTCTATGTCAAAATACATTTACACTGTAAATTGTTTATAGAAAAAAGACACAGAGAAATGGAGTTTGCTGGCATTGAATTCAATAGCAGCAACTGCCCCTGATATTTTTTCCTTCATTTTCTAATTTAAACATTGTCTGAAAAAAATCTCCATCATAATCTACACTTCTATATTTTGCCTATGGGTTTGTTCATTATGTTTGCCAGTACAACATAGTGAGAAATTACCATGATTATTCCATTTCAAGATCTATCTATCACATGTGCCTAGGACAGCATTCAGGACCTCACCTCAAGGCTGTCAGCCATGTTTGTTTTGAGAGACACAGCACTTAAAAAGCCTGTCAGTAACACCAGTTTCGAGACAACACTTGAGGAATTAAATAGTAGTTATCAAATGCAAAACTGGAAAAAATGCACATAAAAGCCACAAGTGCAGATTGATCACACAATTTTATTAGAGTCTTTTGAACAAATGTATTCCTCTGTTTAAAAATTCTTGCCAAAGAGACATTGGAGTGTACGATTTTCAACCCTGAGCATTAACACTGCATACCAAGTACGGTAGGAAAGAAGCTGGTTAGAGATTGGAGCACTAGCACAAGCCACTGTGATATTCTCTATGTGATCAGGTTTTTACAAAAAAATACATAGTTTTCAATAAATAATGCTTAATTTTACAACTTTGATACAGCAATGTCATACACTGTTTTAACACACACTAAACTCTGCATGCTATATAGTCTACTAAAAGACAAAACTTTGCCATGCATTATCTTTTTTTTCCCCCCTAGTGCTATTAAACATTTCTTCCTCCAGTGCATTGCCTTAGGCAGCTTTACCCTCTCTCTCTGTTTCACAGCAATAGGCCATGCACTGGCATGCAAAACCTAAAAAGGTTCCCCCCCC